TATATAGAAAAATTAAAGTATATTTAATTTAGGCCAATATGTATAACGCCAGGCAAATTTAAGAAATAGGAATGCAGAAGTTTTGAAAAATTCCAAAAAAAATGAATGAACATAAAGATGAGAAGGGTTGGAAAAAAACTTAGGCAAATATTTGATATTTCTGGAGGAAAATATAAAATCAAAAAAAATATCATGCGATATTATGTGCATTTTATGTAACGTGTGTATTAATGCGCATTCATGGCAAGTTATATAAAAATGCACATTTTTCCAATCTCTAAATGTAGATGGTTTAAAAGTTAAAAATATACATTGAAATTATTATATAAATTTAACTCAATGAATTTTTTTTTTAATGTTTTAATTTGATATGATGAGTAATCTCATGCTAAGCATAAAAAGAAGTTCGTATAATAAAGTAGTTTTCAAGAGTAAAATTTGCTTTTGATACCTAACTTTATTTATTATGTTAACATTTAATTATTGTAAATATTAATTATTTTTTGTAGGTTAATCAGTTAAATAAAAAAAAACAAACTAGTAGTTATTGGCAGTTACTTATTCGAAGAATAAATAGTTATTATAGTTTATGATGTGTTAACAAACATGATAAACTAGTTTAACTTATTTTGAATTTGACAATAATGGTTTAAGTTTCAAAATAATAAAAATCAGATAGTAATTACAGTGAGGTGCCATATTATTGTAGATACTTTTTAAGAATTTGTACAAAGCTAAAAATGTAAGATATAAAGCTAAAAATTAAAATATAAATTCTTTCAAACTATATCCTTTAAATAAAAAAGATTATAAAATTCTATGCAACAGGTTTTAAAATAATTAAGTAAAATTTGAATTTTTATATTAGTACAATTCTCTAAATTTTACTATGTTTTTATGGTAATTAAAATTACTAAATATAGTAATATATAAACTTAATTTTTTATTAAATAAACTAGCAATTTTTTTAATAGTTATTTAAAATAACAAATTATATATATTCTAAAAATTTTATAATTTTTTGAAAAATCTTTATTAAATTACTATATTAAGAATAAAATTACTATATTTAATAATTATTAATTTTAAATTAAATAATTTAACTTTAATATTTAATAATAGAAAATTACTAAATATATATGAATATTTAAACATGAGTATAATTTATAATTAATTTTTATTAAAAACTAGTTGTAAACCCATGCAATAATGCAAGTCTGATCTGACTCTATAAATCAAGTTTTAATCTAGACTCAGTTCTGAGTCAGACTTGAAACCAAGTTTTAATAATCTTATAATAGTCACATACAACATTAGATATTATAGAACTACTATTAAGCTATCTACTAAAAAATTTCTATCAAATGCAGTATAATATCTAATATTGTATATAACTACTATAAGATTATTGAAACTTGGTTCCAAGTCTAACTCAAGACCAAGTCTAGATTAAAACTTAACTCATAAAGTCAAACTAAACCAGACCAGACTTTTAATATCTCCATATATAGCTATATATATCATCAACTATAATTTTTTACATAGCTATATTAATATTAAAGTTAGAATTAAAATTAAAATTAGAGTTAAAGTTAAAATTTAGAGTTAAAGTAGAGTAAAATTGTAGTTTTGTTTAGTTATATAACAGAAATTACTTTAGTAAAATTAAAACATTATATCTAATCAATATTATATTATATAAAACACTTTATATATCTTAAAGCTACACTTTAACTCTAAATATACAGTATCTAGAGGTGGTAATAATTACTATAAATTATTTTGATTATATTTTTTAAATATTATTAACTATTATAAATAATTTAAATCATTCAAAAAACAAAACTCTTTCTGCTGATCATCAAAACCAAATTTGAAGCTAAAGAAAAACCAAGGATCTGGGCTATACTTCACTAAGACAATAATAGAAACAGTACTAAGTTAAAAGATAGAACAAAGAAAAATAACTAGAGTCTCTTAGAACAAAATTTACTCTTTAGCCTACTTTTTGGAAAAACTCATACTTTCAACAAAAATTATAAAAATATTTTGGAATTTTGGAGATTTGTTATAGACCCTATAAGGCAGATCTGCAAGTTAACAAAACAAAACAAACATGTCTATTTTTGGTAATAAACAAACAATCTAGATTTTGGTAAATAAACAAACAACACAACAAACAGATACTTGTATAAACTAAACAAAACAACAAATATTACATATAAAATGCCTGAACTTATTATTTATAAAAATTTCTTTAATAAATTAGATAAAGAAAGAGTAGTAGTGCAAGAAGAGCAAAATGATTTCATATTCGAACAGGACCAAAAAGTTACAAAATATCTTGGTACTAGAGAAACTTATTTTATTACAATTATAAAAAATGTTTTGAAACACTATAACTATATACAATACAAAATATTAAAAGATCAAATCTTAGAAAAAGAAGAAAAAATTTTGTTAGAATACAAAAGTAGTGCCACAATGTAACTAGATTAGACAGGCAAAAATTATTATTAAGAAAGCAGTATTAAAATCAAAATAGAATCTTTTTCTATGAAAGATATAACTACTCAAGCACTTGGATTTTCTAAAACAAACAACACCAATGCAGAAATCAAAAGAATGAGTACACCTGGGTATAATAAAATTAAAACTAAGATCAAACTAGCTCCTATAGAAACTTCTCCAGTAGCACTACCTATTGAAATTATTAGCACTACTAATAACTTAGAAATAGAATCACAGGATAATCCACGTAAGCGAATTCTAACAGTTTAAAGAGAACCAATATATAGACCAACTAGAGATATTTAAAGATTTATTAATACAAAAGAAGTGTAGTACACTTGATTATGGCTTAAATAAACTCATCAAGGTAGAATTCCAGGCTGATATAGCATCTTCAAAGCAATCAAGCTACAAGAAACCCAAGCATCATGAAAACATATACAACTCAGCTTGAACTCCAAAAAACAAAATTACTTATCAAAAACTCTCTTTTCCATCTATATATTATTTTACAATTTAGACTCTTCTAAAAGAAATGAAGTCATCTACTATTAAATTATATCTGAATTTCTTTGGCACAGCAACTATTATTGCATAGCAACAAAATTTCAGAACAAAGGAAAAAATTACTTAAAAAAAGTTGGACAATATATTTAGAACTAGGCAAAACATATCAAACTACACTAAGCAAGTTTGATATTGCTAAAGTAGAATCAAGAATCAAGTACTGAACTGTATTTCCAATATACCAACAATAGCATATGATAGTTTTTTGTTGTATCAATTTAAAAGTATAAGGTTCAAACTGTACATATTTTAAGCAACTGTAATGGGAATCAAATAAAAAGAGCCTATTTATACTTCAATTCAGAAGAAGATTTCTTGCTAGCCCAAAGCTGCACTTTTTATTACTTTAACACTAAACTTGATTGGTATTTAAGTGCAGAGAGCTCAAACAGAAGAATATTTCTAATAGCATGTTCTATTACAAGAAAGAGAATAGAAGCTTAAACAAAGAAAAAAAATTATTAAATAAAGCAAAAATACCAGAAGATAGAAATCTAGTTAAGCATACTCTTATTAAACAAATAGATGAAAATAGAATTTTAACCTATATTATTTAGTGAACAGAAAATTTGATAGAATTAATAGCAATCTCAGATCTTGAAGCAAGATCAGAAAACCTCTAAGAAGTATAAAAAATAAATTTGCAACTAGTTCAAATAGAATAGATTTAGGTAGAAGAAAAGAAAAACAGAAAGAACAAGAAACTGAGATAATTTAGATTGAAAACTCTTACAAAAAAACTAGATCACATATTAGAAGCTTTAGTAAGTCAAGTAACAATTATGCAACCAAGTGTAAAATACAAAACAATATCTTGAAGCAAATATTAAATAAACTACAAAAAATAGAAGAAAAGCAAAAGACTCTAGCCCCCAATTTCTTCTAAAAGTACCACAGTTGTATTTTCAAAAGTAAATAAGCAAAATAGCTTTTTGGGCAAACACTATTTAAGATAATCAATAATACCCTAGAATTTGATTTAAAAATAGCATGTCACAATATTAACAGACTCAAATTGAACAATTAAAAGCTCTTGCACTTATTAGAGTAGGCAAAAGAAAAAGAAATTGATATTTTAGGTATAACAGAAACGAATAAGGAAGGATATTATATCCTTATATCAGATAGCCTATTCAAAATTTTTTAGACAAGCTCAAGTTCTAACAAGAAAAAAGATTTTGAATTAGGAGTTTTAGTTAAAGAAAAGATTCAGAAATATACAGAAAATTTTAAAAAACATAGCAGTCACACGATTTGTCACACTATTTTGCTTGTAAATTTTTTTTTTTTTATTTTTTTATTTTTTTTATTCTTTGACAGTCTTGTCGGTACTCAAATACAAATTATATTACTATTAGACTACAAAACAAAGTTT